AGCTATTGGGGGAAGTAAGTGAGTTGACAGTATTGTTTGCAGACAATATTTCAAGAAGTCTCCACATGATGGACCAACCTTTTGATAAACTTTTATCTAAAAGAAGATACATGTACCGGTAATTCCACACGAAGTGCCGACTTCTTTTGAGAAGGCTTTCTTGTTTATTGCTTCATTGTTGCAGCGGAGGGGGAATCAAAGCACTTTTGCTTTAAGGAAAAGAAAAACTGTTGAGCATTATAGATTGGCTACAAAACTATCCATTAATAAAGTTAACCTTCAGCTGTGGACTAATTAATTTGAAAATAATGAACACCCACACATTTTTAAGAAAGGAAAAGGGAAAAAGGGAAAAGAAACTTTGGTTTTAACATGAGTCAGTCACTTAAAACTAAAGAGCAATTTAAGGCTGTGTAAAGCATTCATTAATTCCCAATCAAAGAAAAGGCTAGATATTTCAAACTCCACAGTTCAAATGAAAGCAAGGAGATTAAACCAAATGAAGCAACGTAAATCATTTTAAAGGTTTGAAAATATGTTGCAGAAGGAAAAAAGCTTTCTGCACTTAAGTGTGAGAATGTGTGCAGCGGGTAATGTTTCTCGTATCCATGAATGCAGACAACAAGGAATGAAAACTGTGATTTTAAAAGCACGACTTTAATCTTAGAGAGTGACTAACCAGCTGGTACAAAGCTTTCTCTAATCTGACAGGCCCCAGTGAATTTTGAGTATGTTATCAAATGACTATTGCCTTAATACTCTTCACACATGTCGCATGTAAGGGAATGTTTCCAAATTATGAATTCTCTCTCCCCAGAGAGTGCAACATTTAAATCACAGACATATCAAGGCATGGGGCACATCCAAGGGATAGAACTAGATATTTAGGAGCAAAAGGATTCTGCTAAACATAAAAAAAAGTGGAGAGGGGAGGGTACTTATCCTTTTCCCTATCTGCCAATTCTCTGTGTTTTCCCCATCCTCAAGTGTTTGTTTTTAGCTGAAGTTCCCACTTACAGTTTCTGTTGCTGGGAAAGAAGAAAGGAGATGGTGGAGAGGTCAGCACGGTGTGCTGGGTGGAGCTAATCCAGCGATTCTGCCAGCGTGTTTGCACTGCACCAACATCCTTGCTGCCTCCCCCCTCTGCTTCCTTTTAAACAGTGGCAACTCAGCTGTCCGGAGATCATCTGAGTGTTGCTATTATGAAACACCAGCATATTTACAGTGACATGAATTTTCAGACCCAGATCTGCCATCAAATGTCCAATCAATAAAATGTAGACTTATGGTTGCAGGATAGCCATGTAAATCAAATCCTACATTTGAGAGAAGCAGTGGAAAGTACTGACAGATGTTTTAGTTAGAACACCCATTAACTGAAAAGGTCATTTATTCAGGTAGAAGGACAACTCCTCAGAAAGTAACTTTGCTAATTAAACATAAAGCCTTTGCAGGAAAAAACAGAAACTACTAAGCGGTGGAGGCTGGCTGTGCACTGTTATTGAAAGGAACTCAGGATGCATCACTTTGGAAGAGCCTAATTTGCTCATCTGGTGGTGTGCCAACATATGCTTCATTTTAACTGTTTTAATATGTTAACTAACAAACAGTTTGGGACCATTGTGTCTCCTCCTGCCACCCTCTGTAAGTAGGAAAAATAAGGACTTGTTTCACTCTGAGTACACAGGGCACTGGGAGCACAGAACAGAGACTAAGACTAGAAGCCACTCTCTTCCTGTGTGAACTGAAGATTTAAGAGACAGTTGGCTGCAGGAAGACCCAGGACTTAGCCACACTTATCTTTGTTCTGCATTTCTAGGCACAGGTCCATGTCTGAGCATTTCCCACTCCACCCCCCCCCCAAGCTTCCCCCAGGAAAACCCTCTATTTACTGCTGAATCCAAGCAAACAACATCCTGTGAAACCCCCAAATTGCTGTTTGCTCCAATCAGGTTTCCTGGGGAAAGCGGGGGGGGGGGAGCACTTATGGACCAGGAAAGCGCAGACCTGGCGTCTAGAAAGTGTGGGGTGAAAGGTAAGTGTGGGTGAGCTCTCCATTGCAACTAGTTCCATAAGAGCTTGACTGCTGCTATGCTGAATCTTGAAGTGGTGGTTTGCTAGCCTTTGCTGGAGTTCACCAGAGGCACTTTCTTTCGGGCTTCTTTAAACCTGGAGCCAGACCTAGCTTTACAACTTGGTTGTTCAAATGTATGTTACCTATCTTGTTTGGCCAGCTGGAATGAGATTTGTAATTTGTGATAGAAGATAATAATAAAAAGAAGACGATAAATACAACACAGTTTTCGAAAGAGAGGTTTGCAGTTGGCTGTTTTGGCATGCATTGCAAGCTGTGGAGGGCTCCCAGTTGCATACTGGGAGAGAATACAAAAAGAATCCTTGGAGCTAGGCTGAAGAGAAGAAAATTGTCTTCTTCCAACAGTTAAGAAATAGTTCCCATTTAGCATCAAACATATTTACCCATGACTGACCATTTTGAATTCAGAACAGATTGGTTAACATCTTCATCTCTTTAAAGTCTCAGATCTTCCACAGAAGGTCTATTTCCACAGGAGTTTTGGTTAATTTCCAGCTATATGCAACTTTAATCTTAATAGTATATTAAAAACAAATTCCAAATCAACTTCCAACACCACGTCTTTTAAACAGCCCAATAATAGGATCAAAGGATCCATAGACAAATCACTTCCAGTTATATTTATTAGATGTCTTGACAATTTCCCAAATTCATTGTTTCAGGTCTCTTGGCCCACAGCTCAAACCAGTTGCATCACCTCCACCTACCCTGCAGGTGAATGTTTTCCTGAACATCCAAAATTGCCTAGGTGAGCTACCTCGCCGATGACACTTGAATTAGTATTTATTGTTAGTGAGTGAAGAGCCTGTGCCAATGTTAAAGAGAGGCTCAAAACAGGACAGGACAGCATGGCTCAAAACAGTATGTTCCTGAGGGTTCAAAAACATGTACTGCTGGTAATTCTAAACTTTGAGAGTAATAACCTTGGAAACAGTTGCCAGCCCAGCCGAAGCAATTGGATGCTGTTAAACTACATTTGCTTTTGTGTCCTTGGGTAAGCGATGCCCTTGTAAAATTGCAAAGCAAAAATGAGCCAGTTTCTCTCTAACAAAACAGACATAGTCCTGTGATGTGAAATTACTGGAAAGATGTGATTTGGGGAAATTACAGTTCCTTGTTTAGTATATGCTATGCATGCCCTCCAGCTTTCCCTAACCAGTATCTCCCCATTTCATTTAAATTGTAATGATTTCCTTTAAGGACAATTACGTTGCCCAAAAGCAATGTATGCATAATCATACCACTTTGCCATGGTTGGGAGTAGAAGCAGAGTAAAGCTATTTATTAATGTGATAATTAACTGTTAATGCTGAGCAACCTAATTATATCAGTTTAAAAACAGTTTCCATGTTCGAGGCAGGTTGCTCCAAAAGATTTCTATTCAAGATAATAAAACGCTATGAATATCACAGCAAACCCTCAATTACACATTAAAGGATTGTGATCCACCTATTTTTTCCAACAAACAAATTCCAACTTCATTAGCATATTTAGAGCCACACTTCCCTCGCTGTAATTATCTGCAGTGTAAGTTAGAAATTTTTGTTTTTCAAGGGGCAGCCATTACAAGCAGGGCCATAATATATATGGCACCAAAACAGAAAGCAATCCTTTTGAGAGAGTGTGGTTTACTTGCAGTAATTGCAACTGCTGGTTCTGCTGACTTTTAGGGTCAAACTTTTCATGAGGTGCCCCTCTCTTGGGATCCATAAAAGTGCAACCGTTTATGCCAGGCGTAAGCATTGCTTTGAACATATTGAGCTGTTTTCTGCAGAGTTAAGACCACCTCTGTTCTGGTAGCAGCAGTCAGTGATGTGCAAATTCCACTCATTCAGTTAGGGATGGGCTCAGCTGAAACACGCTTTTGGGGTCCCATTTTACTCCCAGTGACACTATCAGAAATGTGATGAGACCCAGATACCCTGTGATTTAGCCCCTGAGCCCTAACCCGCTACCTTCCCTACTCCCCAAATTAGCTGGGTGACTGTGGCATTAGTGACATCCCACAAACCATGAGCGCTGATTTATATGTCATACTACGACAGCACTATGGTTTGTTTCTGCCCCCCCCCCCCAAGCTTGGTATAGGGAAGAGTAGGGCAAGTATAACTTGAGCACAGTTAGCTAGTTCACTGCTTGTTCAAATTAAGCCTTACAGTGGTACCTCAGGTTAAATACACTTCAGGTTACATATGCTTCAGGTTACAGACTCCGCTTACCCCGAAATAGTGCTTCAGGTTAAGAACTTTGCTTCAGGATGAGAACAGAAATCGTGCTCCAGCGGCGGGAGGCCCCATTAGCTAAAGTGGTCCTTCAGGTTAAGAACAGTTTCAGGTTAAGAACGGACCTCCGGAATGAATTAAGTACTTAACCCGAGGTACCACTGTACTTCATTTTAGACTGGGACTTGCTGGCAAATGCAAAGCAGGGCAATTTGTACTTTGAAGGATTTTGCCTTTACTTTGTCCCATATTCCCTTGCAGGAAACATGGGATATGGGTGAATGGTGCATTTGATAAGAATATCCTAAAGAAAAACGTTGAGAACAGCAGAAATAGTTGCTGTGAATTCAAGAGATATTTGCACTATCTTCTTCTTCTTCTTCATCGTCCTACCATTCACCGTAAGGTCTCAGGAGGGGTTGCAACAATTAAAACACAATGTTAAAAACAGTTTTAAAAACTGCTGGTTTCTCATGGATGCTCGGAACTAGTTGTGGAACTCTTTCTGGTTAAGTAAATCACATTCAACATAAAAGTATAATACCTCCAGCCAAGAGTGATCCCCTCTCCAGAAAACCAAAACAGGATTCTGGGCACATTTCCCTTTATACTTCCAGCAGTAATCAGTGGTGAGGTGTAATACTGTACAGTGGTACCTCAGGTTAAGTACTTAATTCGTTCTGATCGCTTCTCGGCCTTTTGGCTAAGATCAAGTGAAGTACTTAATTCGTTCTGGAGGTCCGTTCTTAACCTGAAACTGTTCTTAACCTGAAGCACTACTTAAGCTAATAGGGCCCTGTTCTCATCCTGAAGCAAAGTTCTTAACGCAAGGTACTATTTCTGGGTTAGTGGAGTCTGTAACCTGAAGCATATGTAACCTGAAGCGTATGTAACCCGAGGTACCACTGTATTCAGAATTGCTCTCTGTAGCATTTTGGCAATCTAATCCTTGTCTTTATTCCTGATTTTAGAAAATAGGAGCAGGCATACATGAGGCACCAACATGGCGCAGAGCTTTGACATCGTCGCTGGAAGCCAAAAAATATTTCGCAGGAGTAGCCAAAACAACCACCACCACCTGGGGGTGGGGGTGGGTTGTATATTTCTACCTTCTTAGAAGAAGTGCCGGGTAATCTTTTGTCAAGAATCATCTACAAGGTTTGAATCGCAGGCAAGAAAAGTGGTGTGAAAAATGCTTCCCCCAAAGTCCAGTCTTACAGCCCCCTGGTAACACCTGAACGGGATGCCCAAATGTTGAGGATTTCTCCCACATTCAGCTGGTTAGTAACGTTGACGTGGGAATGAGACACATCATTCACTTTACTGGTGCATGGTTACTCTACAGAGATATTATTAAAGCTGCTCTTGTTATGCCCTTGTAAAGAGAACTAGTAATCAATATAAAAAAGGCTTTGGAGAATCAACCAAATCGTCATATTCCTAGAAGTACAGAATATGGCAAGAAAATCCTAATTTTTGCATCATTTTTGCAATTAAATCAAATTGGAGGGGGGGAAGGAGTGTATAAAATATTACTTTTTACTACCTTGAAAAAACTCACTGGCTCTCAGGGAAAATGTATATTAGTGATAGATTAAAATAGCTAAATGCAGATATCTTGTTTGGGGTGATTCATTTCTTTCACCAAGAATTATTAGCACAAAATTTAAGACCCCTGACTTTCTACTTTTTCCTTATTTTAGAAATAAGAAATTTTGCAGCAGTTGAAGTCAATTAAATCCTAGATTATTGCAGAGCTGATAAAATTCCATTTTATTTCCCCATAACTCCTTCATAGGCCTTGTAGGAAGATTTTATATGGCTCTAGGGAATTAGGCTTCAAGCTGAAAAGGGAGGCCTTCTATCACAATGTCCAAGGCAGGGTACCCAAGGCAGGTGAAAATATATATACATAGAGAATCATAATATGTCTTCCTGAATCCTTCCTGCCTAATTTGTTTCATCTATACTGAAGTAGAACATAGAACTGTATCATGGGAACAAATATTGTTTATCACGGTCTAAAACAGGGGTGGGAAGCCTTTTTCAGGCTAAAGCCAGATCTAGATCCATGATCATTTTTAGTTGGTGAGCATATGTCTTCTTCTTTTTTTTTAAAAAAAAATGATATTTATTAAACATTTTAAAATTACAAAAAAGACAAAGAGACAAAGAAAAAAAAACAAGGAAAAAGCAAACAGTAATCAAACGATACAAATCGATAAAAATCAAAATCAAAAAACAAAAATAAACCACAAAAATTTAAAAACAAATCCAATATTCCCAAATCCTTAACTGTCATTGCCTTATTTCATCGACCTCCTCACACCTCCCTTTTTTGTATTCTAGTTATTAATTATCACAGCAAATCCTTCCCATTTTTCATAATATTCTGTCATTAAATTACCTTAATCTATTTTAACCTTAACTTGCTATAAAAGACCCTAAAACATAAAATTTAAATCTTATTTATACCAATTTCTCATAACCATAACATATTCTTGCGTAGTTCTTTTTAACATTTCTGCTAAAGCCAAATAATTTCGTTCCAGCATTTTTCTAATACTCATTAATTTTACAAAACAATCCTAGATAAAAAATTTTTAAAACTTTCTTCCAGTCTTCATCCAGCGTCTCTTCCTCCTGGTCCCGGGTTTTGTCAGTCCTTTCTATCCCATCCATCTAGTTCATTAATCTGGTAATCTTATGTCCGAGGCCCTTAAGTCTCTTCCATGTCCCTTCCGCAGATCTTGTTCATATTTATACCTATACTTTACTTTGTCTCCTGGTCCTTTCACTCATGGAAACTCCAACTTGACAGTATTTTTGTCCCTTCTCGACAGATCAGCCCCTTTTCCATAATCCACACTGAGCTCCATGTGGTATTTAAAAGCATGTTTCAAAGTCCCTCCAGAGTTGAGGACCCCCACAACCCCAAACTCCTCACAGCCCATTGCCAGACTTGAAAAGTCAAGACATCCCTGCATAGGGGGGTCTATCCAGCCCCCCATCTCCAAGCCCAACAACACTCTATCTCTCCAAATCTGGCTTTTTCCAAGTTCATTTGTCAAATCCAACAACTCATGTTCCTGCTGGGCCACAGCTCCCTCCATCTCTGCCACCCGAGGTCCAACAACAACCTCCTCCCTCCTCTGATCTGTCAGAGCACACTCCTGGGTTGATTCCTGGGTGGGTTCTATATAGATACCCACTACCTGTCCAAAATTTCTAATCGCAACAGTCATCAAACCCGTCTTCTCATGTAACTGTTCCAATAAAGCACTTGTCTTGCAGAAAGCTCGCACCAGAGCCTCTGAATACATTGTTATACAAGGTCAGAAGTCTGTTCCCACGATCTTAATCTGTTGCAGCTGCGACGCTCCCCAGTTCAAATTTAATAACAGTTTCACAAGCTCCCTCTAGGGGAAGAACTTCTATTTGTATCAATCTCTTCTTTTTTTTTTAACAGCAGATCTAACAACAAAGTTTCCTTTTTCAGATATTTTGTCAAATATTGTTCCTTTAAAATGCGAAAGAGAACAATGGAATCACTATGTTTCTCTTCTTTTTAACTATCTGTCAAAAACATTTGTCTATAGTCAATGAACTTCCCAAAAACGTCTGTCCTGACACCCCGCTCCCAGGTTCAAGACGGTGGAAAATTACTTTTCTTTACACTCTCTTCTGCAGGTTTAAACAATCCGGAAAAGATCCCCCTTCTTCTCCTGCTTCCGAAGGGGGTTCAGTAGTTTTAGATGATGAAAGTTGATCCTTTACAAACGATTTTCTAAACTCTAGTTTGCCATGTCTTTGCTTTAATCTATCTACAAGAAACGGAAGGCTGACTTCCTGTTTAGACCTTCCCGCTTCAGTGCCAAATTAAAAGGAATTTTTTAATCCAATTTTCCGTTCTACTCACAGATCGTTGTTTAAAGTCCAATTGTCCAAATTTAATCTGCTCACGGATAGTTGTTTTTGTAGCCAAATTGTCCCAGGAAAAAGGTAGCGCTCTCCGGCAACGGCTGTGCGGCTTCGCGTTGGTGAGCATATGTCATTCACCCGCCGCCACAGCAGCAAAGACTTAGATGTTTGAAGCACTTAAATCAGAGTTAAGCCTCTGTTGGCTGCCTTTTAAAGAGCAAGCAGGAGCTTTTCTTTGCTCTTAGCACTGTGGTACTTAGCACTAAGATAAGAGATAAGAGCTTTCTTATCTCCAACCTTAATGCTTAGATTAATGCATATGACTGATGGGTGGGTGTGGTTTTTCCAAAATGGCACCATAGGTTAAATTCAGAGGCCTGGGGGAACTAATTAGGCTATGGGTCAGATTCCCCCTCCTCTGTCTATATGAAAATAAAACAACAACAACAATAACCTGTGTTTCGCAAGCAGATCCCAGGTTGGGTTACAACAATTTAAAATTCAGTATTTAAAACATTTAAAGCAAATTACAGTGACAGGAATGGGGTGGATCCTGAAAACACACATTTCACGTGTCAAAAGGCCAGGGTAATGAAGTGCATCTTCAGCATTCATTGAAAGCTGTACAGTGAAATGCCTCCTCTGTCCGTGAGGAGGGATTTCCACAACTTAAGGGCTGCCATGGAGAATGTCCTCTTCTAGGCCATCGTTCTCCAAACTCTTGAGTTCACTGAAACTACGAATAGGGCCCCCTCTGCTTATCATAGCACCCAAGAGGGTTTGTAGGAAAGGAGGCTATCTCTTAGATATCTGGGGCTTAGGTCATTTAGGGCTTTAAACATTAGCATAAGCACCTTGAGTTGGGCCCAGAGAGAAACTGACAACCAGTGTGCAGACATATAGCCTCTATGATATGGGGAATAAGACATGAACACTCAGCTTCTAAAGGATGGCTCATATATGTACATCACAGCATTGCTTGGTGACTGTAACAAGAAGCGATAGTGTGAGTGGAACATCACTAATATATAACACCACCAATAAAAGGTTTTCTTTCACCCTCAAACACAATACCTTTCCATGGCAACAGATTTTCAGTCATGTTCAGTATATACACAGCAAGAATTTCATGAGGATGAGGTGGTAGAGCCCTGAGGCACTTGACTGGCTTTTGGTGATTCTCTGACTGAGGGTGCTGGGGCAGGCACGTTCTTGTGAAAAACACAAAAATTAAAAATGCCTGCAACAAACTAACTCACATAGCCAAGAACAGCCAAGTGCTGGTTTTCTTCTCGTAAGACAGCTTTTTATATCCATAAACACTCAAAGCTGATATCCCCCCACCTGCAGTCTGAAATGGTCAAATCGACTCCACTATCTCAGCTTCACTCTGCCACACTTCACTCAGCCACATATGTAGACTAGCACTAGTCTACCAGTCACCAAGTGTAGAATGGCATGTATAGGTAAGCCTGAATTTGCTAATAAAAAAAAATAAACACTGACAATTTTTAAATTATAGGCTTGATGTGTAAAGTCTGAGGTTGGATGAACCGCTTTACATATGTTTGTGTGTGTGTGTGTGTGTGTGAGAGAGAGAGAGAGAGAGAGAGAGAGAGAGTCGTCATGAGGAAGAGAAACTGTGGAAACAAATAAACAGGGAGGACATTATGGGTGGTGGCACCCTGTGTTTTAAGCTTGTGATTTTATCATCTTTAGGTGCTTTTTGCTTGGCTATAGTAATGTTTTTCTGCCAATAATTTTATTTGTCTTGGATGTATATAGTGGTTGGTGCTTTACTTTTTAAAATCTTACTGTGAACATTCGACTGGGTGGTGTACAAATATTGTAAGCAAGCAAA